CTGAGATTGTCAACGCTGCCGTGGCCAAGATCAAGACTGTTGCTGGCCTGACCGGTGTCACTGGCGCGTTCTCCAAGTGCGACCTCCTGGTGAGAATCCTGTGCTGCGAGGTTTGAGGATACCTGCAATGAGTGGGATGCAGCAGGCTGTCAATCAGCCAAGCGTCCACATGCGATTCAAGCGGAGGGCAGGTTGCCTAATAGGATAATTGCATGGCAAATCAGATGAGGAAGACGCCAAGTCATGTCGTTTATGCTATACGCCTTTCCCCCCCCCCCATCACTCCTCCACCTGCAGGACCAAGGCAAGGTGCTGGTGACCATCATCTACACCATCACCGCCCCCACCGCCGCCCCCATCAACACCGCCCTCGCCGGCATCAACTCGCCCCCCGTCGTCGGCACCGCGGCGGCTGGCGACAACATCTGCACCTCCACCCTGCTCGGCTCGCTGTGCAACGGCACCGTCTTCACCGGCCTCAAGGTCACCGACGGCTGCGCCACGACTGCCCAGCAGTGCATCCCCAAGACCCTGCGCGACAAGCGCTGCGTCGTTGACGGCCCCGCCATCGGTGGCTACACCTTCATCCGCGCCGCCGGCCGCGTCGCGCCCTTCGTCGACGCCAACGCCGAGATCGTCGCCACCGACGGCGAGATCACCGCCGACAACGGTGGCGGCCGCCGCCTGCTGCAGAAGGTCCGCCAGGCTACCTTTGAGGCGTGCTGCGTCAGCCCCAAGCAGAGGGAGCCCCCGACTGGCACTGCCTCCACCTGCAAGAAGATCAACGTCGGCAAGAAGTTCACCAGCCTGGCCCGCTTCAAGCCCACCTCTTGCAAGTGTGCCAACGTCCGCGAGTTCGTCCAGGGCGCCATGTGAGTCGCGGATGCTTTCAAAAAGCATAGCGATTAGCCTTCGTGCAACGCCACACCTGCAGGCCTAGGGCTACGCAGCCAGCAAGCAAAATGCTGTGGGATGTGCCAGCGGGGTGCTTGGTGGGGCACCTGAAGATGCGGTGGCTGGTGAACAAAGGGCGCAGCCACCACACAGGCATTGACTCGCTGCACCCCCCCCCCCTTGTTGACCCCACAGGACCACCAAGCTGCCTAAAACCACTGTCACTCACATCCCGGCCAACTACCCCTTCAGCGTTGGGTTCGCTGCCAAGGTGAGTGCTGACCCCTATCACTGGCAAAGAGGCTGTACCCTTGCGATGAGGGAGCCCTTGGTGCAGCCTCAATTGCGAGCGCCATTCGACCTGGGCACGCTTGCAAAGTCAGCCCCCTGGCTGCTCGCACTCGTTCATGGAATGCCCTGACCAACCTGTCTCTACCTGGTCTTCCGCAGGTGTGCGTGCCCAAGCCCACCAAGAGCAACCCCCTCAAGTGCACGAACAAGTTCCTGACTGCTGGTGCCGCCACCGCCACTTGCAACAACGGCACCCTGGGTCTGGAGTTCGAGTCAGTGCAGCGATTTGTCATCGGTCGCCAGCACACCATCGTTGCCACGTGTTCGAAGAGCAGGTGTGTGGCACGGTGAAACTAGCCTCACAGGAGGGCACTTTGTATAGAGTGCTAACAGGGAGGTTGCGTCCCTGCCCCCCGCACCAGTTCAGGCAGCACACGTCAGGATTAGGGTAAGGCTGCGCGCTGCATGGCAGCGCCTTGCATGTCAAAGACTGACCACGATCTCCCGACCTTCATGATCCAACTGCTGCAGGTTCACCGACATCTCGTCGTGCGCCACCGCCAGCGACTCAACCGTCAGCCCCACGCTGTCCGGTGGTGTCACGATCACCAACAAGGACTTCGACGCCGGCTGTGTGTGCAAGTCGACCGGCCGCAAGCCGGTGCTCAACCTCATCACCACCGATGTCCTCGTGGGCCAGCAGTGCCTTGCATAAGCACTGGCGCAAGCTGTGCGACGCTGCACCATCCACGCACATTGGCGCGCTGCCATTAACGGTGCAGCTGGTGCGCTCCACTTGCATGTGCACCCCGTCGGGGTCCGGGCACCTTGAGCGCGGACCCGCAGCTGTTTGGGTGATGCACCCAGCGGCGCGGGGCATGGCACGGATGTGAGGGCTTGGCGCCGAGTGAGGGACGGCAGCCTGGGTGGACCATGCATGCCAGGTTCTGCCGTGGCTTCCTGCCTGGCGTTTCTTCCGAGCATCCCGTGCACTTACCATAACTGGATGCGCATGCGCACGCAGCTTTTGCTGCGACGTGCTGCTGCTCCTGCCCACGGCCCTTTCGCCGTGTGGCGCATCTATTTTCTGCGGTGCCCGCCCCCATGCCGTGGCTGCACAGCTGCCCCACATGGCCATGGAAGTTTATGGGATGCTGTTTCTGCTACGCCGGCACTGGTCATCGCATGATGGGCAAGAATGGCTCGCAACTGCGGATGCACAGGTGCATGTCCCTTTGGGAACACCTGCTGGTGACATTTAGTTGAATCCTTCTGATAAAGTAGCCTCTCTCTCGCAACACAACACGTCTCTCTTCTTGATCTGTGCGTGTTCACATGCTTGCCGGGACCTCCTGTCAGGGGTTCTGCCTGGCGGAGGGGTACACACAAGCGTTTCTTCCCTTGCGGATGTGAGTGACCCTCCCTTGGGTGCTCCAGCCCATCCCCTCGCGAGCTTGCCATTTTAGATGCATCGGGACAACAGCAGTTTCAGCTGCCGAGCACTATTGTTACAACACGTGCCATTTGGCCAACCAGGCTGCGGGTGGGGCGGGCGCCCAGGTTGGGCAAAAGAACGGGCACGCACATCAATGTGCGGTACCGCACATCGCACAGGAGCATGGACCCGCCGCAGTGGATGCCTTTCTGGCCGCCTGCAGGGATTAAAAGTGGAGAGCGCATTATGAGCGCTACCTCAAATGGCATGTGCCTGTGGAGCGCATTGCTGGCGACGGCGACACCAGGAGCAGATTGTCCCCAAGCCCGTTTGGATGTCACCAGTGCTGGCGGTTGAGCGAGCAGCTGCACAAAGCCCCACCCTCCCAAGATAGCTCAGCAAAGCAGCAAGGAAAGGGAGCTCAACACAAGCACGACCAGGGTGCAGCACACCTGCGCGGCCGCTGAGAGAAGCACCTTCGCCCCCATCGCCACCAGCAGCCAGGAGGGGCCCCGCACGCAGAGCGGCGGCACGCACGGCCTGCACGCGATCCGGAGCGCTCCGCCCGACCGTAGCGTTGAACATCTGACTCACTGCTAGGTCTGTGGCGGGCGCAACGTACACGCCGCGAACCGTGGTCACATCGGTCCAGCCGCCGTTGCGCCCGATCAGCTGCACCGACGGCTCCAGGGCCGGCAGCCGCTGCTCAGCCATGATGGGGGCCACGACGTGGTTGGGCAGGGACCGGCGGAAGGCCCTCAGGCCGGCGGCGACATGCTTCGCACCGCCTGCAGCCTTGAAATGCGCGATGTGCGTCAGCAGCTGCGCAGCTGTCATGGGCACGCTGGGCAGCACCATGCCGCCGGGGCGAACCTGGCAGAAGACGGCCCTGAAAATAGGACACAGGGCGAGCGCAAAAGATGTTGAAAAATCAGGACCCCACAGGCATAAAGCCGCACAGCAACTGCAAATACGTCAACACAATGCTGACAAACATACAAGTCGTACTGGCGCGTGGGCCTCATGGCGGCGTTCATTCTGGAACTGGTCCTGCTCCAACCTGACTGCCCAGCTTACCAGGCGTTGCGGCCAGGAACGATGGGAATGCGGTCGCCAGGAGCAAGCCCCTCCAGGCATGCGTGTTCGGGCGTGACGGCGCCTCGCAGCAGTGCCAGGGCGAGAGCCAGGATCCCCCGGCTGAGGTGCAGCTCTTCTGCCAGAGCCGTGTTGCCGCACTCGTCCAGCAAAGACTGCCGCAGGCTGTGCTGGTCGTTCACCTTCTCGCTCAGCCAGAACGGCGCCACGCTGGGCGTCAAGCACTCATCGCCGGTCTCGGGGTCCGCGATGCACGCAACATACAGGTAGGTTCAGGGTCGCCCAAGTCGTGTCCAGGAGGGTGGGGGAACGGCGGCCGGTGTGGAAGCCCACGGCCATGCCCATCATGCAGATCAGATCCTCCGCATGGCAGGGGTCCATGGAGTCGAGCCCGCGCCGCACCAGGTCAACCGGCATCTGCAACGGCGAAGTTGCAAGCGAGCGACCAATGAATCAACAGGAAAACAGGAAAGCAGCAAACGGAAAAGGGCCGACACCTGTCAGACCACGAAGCTGCGCACCAAACACCAAAACCCACACGTGAGCAGACGCAAGCTAGCCCTGGCATGCGCCATGTCAGCCACAGAAGCACCACCGCTGCGGGCCGGAACCAGCACCCACTCACGTGGTCGACGCGGTTCACGCCAGGACCATCGTGGCGCGCGGTGTGCCGCTCCAGCTCAGTGATGAGGCCCCGCCCCATGCTCCTCGCGCAAGTCGTTCTCCGCCACGAACCGGTGGTTCCGGTTGCAGCCCAGGGGGTTGGCTTTCAAGCGCATGCCGATCCAGGAGATGTGGCTGATCGCGTTCCACATGCTGCTGACCTTGGTGACGAAGCCGCACGCAACCAGGATGCTGAAGAGGGACCCGACCTCGGCCTCGGTAAATGGCCACGCATCAAGGATGCAGTTCTGATGCACACAGGTCAAAAGGGCGAGCGCACCGACAGAGCCGTGATGACAGAGATTGGGCACACGCCAAAGCACCACACCGTTGACGCCATGACATCAGCTGATGGAGCAAGCACCGAGCAGCAAGGGTGGCAATAACCACATCAGAGGGTTTTATTTGCAAAGCCCACCCCTGGAAAAGGGGCCCGCCGCTCAGCCCCCGCTGGGCCCCATGACTCACCAGCGGCTCTTCTGGGCCACTCCCAAAAAGGTCCTCCACGGACGCACCAACACGGCCCCGGCTGTGGACGAGCACGACCGTCATGAAGGGCACGGCGACGCTGCACACGGGGCCGCGGTGGGCCTGGAAGCTGAGCAGAAGCTGCGCGTCCACCAGCTCCCAGTAGCACAGGCGGCCTTGGGGTAGGGGCGATCAAAGGGAGGCGTTGAAGAGTCGTCGTGTCTGGCTGGGAGCGACAATTAGGGGAATTATATAATCGCTGCATTGGTGCTTGCTCCCATGGTCAAGCACTCCAAATTCCTCGCTAACAGCCGTGCCCAGGACTACCCTACTGCCAGTGCAGCCATACAGGTCTGCCAGAGATGCCAGTTCACTTGGCAAGTTCAATTGGTTAACTTCCACGCCCTGGGAAACATGACGCAACCGCACCCGCCCCCCCAAACAATCCAAATTCTCATGCTACCGGGGGGCAATGCGGGGCGCTCGCACCAACCAACAGCAGTGTGGCGTCCACGCACCGTCCTCACTGGCGCCAACCACGAAAGCGTCGCCCGGCAACAGGGTGCAGCCCATCTTGACGCGTGGCCCGGTAGCTGGCCAGCAGCTCCCCTGGCGGTTGGACGCGGACGCATGCCAGAGGAGGCAAGTCGCATTTGAAGTCGTGGACGTGAACACGCCACATACCATATGAAAAGGATTAATCAAATGCGTCGGGCCAGCTGTCAAGTCAAGTCCTGGAAGCAGATCTGGGCATATCTTTCTCTTGGTTCACACAGCGTGCCGTACAATGGCGGCGAAATCTTCACTACAGTCCTTCCTCGCTTGGGGGCAACAGCATGGCCAACTTATCTTTGGCGCAGCGACAATTGGCATCACCGTGCTGGCTGGCGCCAGATCACTGAAGGGGTATGTCGATAACCTTAAGATGGAACTGAAGCTGCTCGCCAAGGACCTTGAGAAGGAGCGCGAGCTGCGCAGCAAGGACCGCGTGGAGCTGCAGCAGCGCACAGACATGGTAGTGAAGAACGTGCTCTTTGATGTGCCCACCACGCGGACTTTGAGGGGGCGGCGCGCTTACTGCGGGGCAGCCAGGGGGCGTCCACGCGTCCCCCCACAGGCTAGGTGGTGGGGAGGTGCTAGATTCCTTTGTATTGCTGTTACAGTACAATCATGTGAGCCCCATCGCATCTCATGCCCACCAAACCTTCCCACAAAAGAAGCGGTCGACCTGTATGGAGGGCAGCACCAACAGGGCCCCCAGCAGCATGATCAACAGCAGCACCTCCCTCAGCAACCAGCCATAAGACCCCTGTGGATTCCCTGATGGGGCGTGTGCGGGCGCCTGGGCAGCGTCAGGCATACGTCCAGGTACCCCCTGGAAAACCAGCGGTGGCTGGAACGCAGGCTTACTTGGTGTGCTCCATACCAGACATCTGGCCCATCAGCATGCTGCGACCGTATGGAGGCCTCAAGGGCGAAACACCACGCGTCCATGGGAACATGCATTGAGCGGTGCACAAGCGTCTCTGTTAGAACCGCAGCACAGGGGCATTGGAGTGCATCCAGACCTGCCACACCATGAAATGGTGTGGAACGAGATCGATCTGCCTAGAATGAGAAGCACTCGCGCACCCACACCGCAAAAATTGTATGACCCGGTCCAACATCGGTCCATCCACTCACAAAAGCCATCACAAATTAAACAAGGAGCAAGGCGCCTATGTGACAAGTCTGGGTAAGGCAAGCGAAACAGCAGAAATGGGCAAAATCGCGCATTGTTGTCAGCGCTGCGCCCTTTGATCAGCAGCCCCACACCTTCACAACGCCATCGACCCCGGCGGTCAGCACACACGTGCCCTTTGGGTGCGCGGCGACGCCGCACACGGGGCCGCGGTGGGCCTGGAAGCTGAGCAGAAGCTGCGCGTCCACCAGCTCCCAGTAGCACAGGCGGCCTTGGGGTGGGGGCGATCAAAGGGAGGCGTTGAAGAGGTTTTCGTGTCTGGCTGGGAGCGGCAATTAGGGGAACTATCTGATTGCTTCATTGATGCGTGATTGCTCCCATGGTCAAGCAAGGGCACTCCAAGTTCCTCGCTAACAGCCGTGCCCAGGACTACCCTACTGCCAGTGCAGCCATACAGGTCCAGAATGCAAGTTCAGATGGCGAGTTAATTTGGTCAACTTCCATGCTCCGGGAAACATGACGCAACCGCACCCACCCCAACAATCCAAAGCTGTCACGCGGCCGAGGCAACTCATGGCGATCGCACCAACCAACAGCAGTGCTGCGCCCGCGCACCGTCCTCACTGGCGCCGACCACGAAAGCGTCACCCGGCATCAGGGCACAGCCCATCTTGACGCCCGTGTGGGTGTGGCCCCGGTAGCTGGCCAGCAGCTCCCCTGGCGGTTGGGACGCGGACGCATGCCAGAGGCAGCAGGTTGCATTTGGAGTCGCGGACGCGAGAACGTCACATACCATATGAAAAGGATTGATCGAATGCATCGGGCCAGCTGTCAAGTCAAGTCCTGGAAGCAGGGCACTAGTGTCGACCGGTTGAAGGCGGCATGCCGGTTGAGCCTCAACGCGAGCAGTCTGCCTGCGAGCCGGCACGGCCAAGCAAGGGTCCTGCACACCAGGCCGGCAGATGCAGGGGTGCACCTCTGCCTTGCCCGCGCCCCGACCCCCCTTATCCATGCCCCAACCCCCCTTGTCCGTGCCCCAGCCCCGCACCTGTGGCCTTGTCTATGAGCCTCAGCGTACTGTCCAAGCACGCCGCCAGCAGGCAAAGCCCGTCACCAGAAAACACCGCTGACGTCACCGGGTGACGCACGTCGTCGCAGTACGCGCGGCCGACGCGGATGTCGAAGCGCCGCAGCGTGCCGTCCACGGAGCCCCCCAAAATCTCGTGGCCGCTGGCGGCGACGGATGTGACATCATCCTGATGCACCAAAGGATTGTGAGGGTGGGCTTGAAAAGGGGCGCTGCTGGGGGCTGTGGACAATCTCATGCAGGATTTGCGTTTGGTCGTGGAAGGGCCTCTGCTGCTGTGAAAAGAGGGGAGAGGCGCAAGCCAGGGGTTGAAGGCGCAACGCTGCATCTCAGATCGTATCAGCATGAATCGAAGCCGCCTTGCGGCATGCGGCAGCATGCCGCTCTGTCGTGCCGCTCAACAGAGCGGTGCACTGCCAAGGAACGGCATCCCGGGCAGATTCACAGGCGCAGGTGCGTTGCGGAAAGGCCACGAGCCAAGCCGGCGCGGCGCCGGCCCCGGTCGCGCTGAGCGTCGGATTCGGCGCCACGCGGCCTCGGCCGCCGCACCTTGAACGCGCGCATGCTCTGTACCGGCTCGGTGCTCCTGCTTTTGCAGTCCCACACCCGCACGCACTGGTCGTAGCCGCCGGTGACCAGCACATCGTCAGACGCGGCGTGGACGACCTGGCGTGGTGGGGGGCGACACCGGGATGCGCGTTGCGGCGCAACTTGCAAAGTGCAGCGCAACTTTGCGCCAAGGTGTCAGCCAGTTACATCGGCGGCAAATGTTGTCTGAGATTTGTGAACAGGTGTTGGCGGGAGGCGCCAGCAGAGGGCGGCGGCTGAGGTGTCGATGTGGGATCAACATCTTGACCGGTCGATTGTGTCGGCCGGATGTGTGGCGGCAGGTGTCGGCGGAGACGTGTGAGCACGTGTGGGCGGGATGCAAAAGCGGAGGGCAGCGTGGATGTGGGTTCAACATGTTCGGTCGATTGCGACGAGGAGGCGCGTCCTTGCTGCCTCACGCACACCGCTGCCGCTGCCGCCGCTGGCGAAGCCGGGCCCCGTCGGTTGGCGGTTTGAAACACGCGCGCGCGTGCGAAGAACCGACACCGAAGCTATCAAGACTCCCAGGCGACGTTATGGAGGCCCCTCATCGCAGCACGAGCCACAGGCACCCAGCAGGTTGGCTGCGGCAAGGTCACCGAGCACCGGCCAGCACGGCCCATGCAATTGACAACAAAAACCGATTCAAGAAATAGCATGCGGTATAGGAAACCCAATAGAACACAACCGATCCAGCCGAGGCCCCACCGCGTTGATGGCTGCGTCGTGTCCCCTGAACTTCCGGATCACCTTGCCAGTGGACACGTCCCACAGGAAGACCTGTGGTTGATCGCAGCCAGCGACGCATCGGGGTTTAGGGTCGCAAACGATGCATGTGAGCAATACTAGCAATCACACGGTCGGGACTGGAGCCTCAAGGAAAGTGTGCAACGTGTCACCCCCGCGGCCGGCCGCCCGGCACGCGCGCCTCAGGCGCCGGCCGGCCGGCGGCGCGTGGCGCGCCCGCGCGCGCTCGCCTGCTTGTCGCCGCCGACGGAGGCAAACTGGCTGTTGTCGCGGGCGACGGACGCGTCGCGCACCTGAGGGGGGGGGCACGGGGGTCGATGGGCCGGGCGTCGAGGGGGCGGCACCAAGGGGGCGGCGCCAGTTCAGTTGCTCGCAGGAGCGCCTGCGTCGTGGGGCGTGGTGCGAGCGCCAGATGGACGCCCGGCCCGGCGCAGCCGGCGAGGCGCCGCCGGCCGCGGCGTGCACACCGGCTGAACAGACGGGCCGCTCCCAGCCGCGCCGGCCTGCGCAGCCGCCACGCCAGCCGGTCCGTTCGCGCGACGCGACGTGTCTCAAGTGCGGGGCGGTGGCTGGAGGGGCCCCTAGCCAGCAAGCCCGGTGGGACAGCTCCGCGCAACAGCCCCGCCCCAGCGCCGCGCGGCGCGCCGGCCGGCATGCAGGCAGCCCTCGCTGCCCCGCCTGCCCGCCCAGGCTTTCGCTCCTCTGTCGCCGCCTTCCACTTCAGCGCAGGGGCGGCTCGGGCGCGGGGGGCCCTTGGAGGCCTTGCCCATGCATACGGCTGCGGGACCAGCCGTGCGGCCGGCGGCGCCCTAGGGCGCCGCGCGCGCGTGTGCTTGCGTCCACGCACCTCGTATCCGTGCCCGGAATACGTCTTGACTGGGACACCTTTGTGG